GGAGGTATCTGGTCATGATGGTGAGGTAAGCAGCAGACTCTTTCACATCCTGTACGCGCTTCACAAAGAAGCCATCAACCACCTGCGAATTACAAACTGATACAATCACATCATCATCGTCATCCATTATTGAATGATGGTCTTCTTTCTGGCCTGCTCTATACCTGTGTATTGACTATAGCCTGTTGCAATGTACTCTCAGGTATACTGAGATGAGCCGCCACTGATCCACACTCCTCCACTAGATAAATGGGCTTACGCAGACCACACCTCTTCAGTCGAAACTAAGGACGAGAATGCGACCGAAGAAAATAAACGGTAAAATAATAAATCACAAATGAAGTCACAAATCTTTTTATTATATTTAGAAAGCAGATAAATGGCAATTGAAAAATGGCATTCAACTTTTTTGTGTGTGTCATGGTTCAAACCTTCTGCTCTCTGAAGCGTCCATCTATGATGCTTCCACACAGATCATCCATCCTCTTCCTCTCAATTATGTAATCAAGCACCAGCTCTTTTCCCACCGGTGGACGCAGTTGCCCTGGAGGAGGACACAGTTTTTATTTGGAATTTGTACATGTGGAACCTTTATAATTAAAAAAAGTAATCTATTAAAATGGTAGTTGTAAACTATGAGGCCTCTGCAATCTTCCAGGGAGCACCAATAAGTCTAAAAATTATTTAAAGGAATAGTTCAACCACAAATGAAAATTGGCTGAAAATTTAACCACCCTTGGCCTTCTAAGATGTAAATGAGTTGAATTCATCATCAGAACAGATTTGGAGAAATGTAGCATTACATCACTTGTTCTCCAATGGATGCTCTGCAGTGAACTGGTGCTGTCAGAATAAGAGTCCAAACAGCTGATATAAACATCACAAAAATCCAATTTGTTCCAATGAAGAAACAAACTCATCTTGGATGGCCTGAGGGTGAGGTTTTTAGCTAATTTAAATTTTTGGGAAGAACTATTTATGTAAATCTTTATATTAATATGTTAAATATGATATGTTGACATAATTTAGCATTTAAAATGTAAAAAACCCCAAAAACAAATAAAAAAATAAAGATGTACAATATTAAACTGATATGATATGACATCAGTTTTAGTTTATTTGCTTTTATTATAACATAATTACATAACAGCTGAGTTAGAAGGGCCTTCCAATATTGTCTCGGACAAATGGGGGGTCTTGAACTCCCAAAGGTTTACAACAACTTACAAATTTGTCCCAAGTAAACGGTTTTAAAAACCCATTTTTTCTAAGAGCAACACTGCCATCTGCTGGTTAGTAACTAGTCCGGCATCTCAGTAAAACGGGAAAAATTGCTAGTCGACTTACCAGGAACAGGTGTCACTTTCTCACGTGCCACCCAAAGGAAGTCGCCCACATTCAGTTTCCTGACATCAAAGGTCACACCATTCCTTTGTAATTCCTTAACCAATTCTTGTTTGCGACCGCTGCTTCCCCTGTTGAGTTTGAAATACAACTGAATAATAAAGTTCTCCAAACTATTTTCAGTTTTATAAAATACTATGCATTAGAAGAACTTAAAATGAAATTCTATTGTTATTATTAAAAGTAAAATTGTACCACACATATAATCTTTTTCCTCTTTACCCTGTTGTTTCGATGAAGTCGACACACAACACAATGTCATAAGAGCCAGGTGGAAGACGCCAACCCATCGCTGTTCTCACCGTCTCTAAGGTCTGGGATTTTCCTGTGGTGTCTGATTCAGAGACGTGACCTCTGACCTGGTTTACAGAAAGAGCTGTGGCAGGCCTTTCTGAAGACTTGCTGGACCTATGGGCGGATTAAAGCTGATACAGTTAATATGCCACTACGGTGCTGCTCCATACCCTCCCAACATGCAAAACATTTTAGACATGTCATTGCACTTATGCAAAAGCCAACCTGCTTCTACTCACCAACTCTCTTTCTCTTCCTGCTCCTCCTCCTCCTCTAAAGTCAGGTCTGCAACATCTGGTCCATCCCGAGTGTCCTCTTCTTCACTCATTTGCTCCACATGTTCTTTAGCCATCCCCGTCTCTTCTGAATCCAGCTTCTCGGCTAGAGCCAGACCCGGATCAGTCAATGAATACCTGAAATAAAACAGAGAAAGATGAAGAGCAACTGAACTCAAGCTAAAGCAGAAATCCAGGGCAGTGATTGCAGTTTAGATCTCACCTGGCAGGATTGTCCGTCTTCACCAGAAGATCTTTCTGAATGAGTGTGTTAACTGCTGACCATGCAGTGTACTTGCTACCAAGATCAGGCTATGTGTAGAGGAAAACAGCATAGTTAGGGTACAAGCAGCGGTTATAGTGAGCAGTTCTGCAAGACTTTTGTGTGTTGTGGTTTGCCTTACCACTGTGAAGGACTTCTCACACAAGGGTTGTGCCTCAGTTTGCAGTTCATTCCTAAACATAAAGCCTTTACTGCCAGGCATCTAGAAATAAATAATACACTTACATTTTATAGAGTGCATTAGTGCCTGCCTTTTTAGCAGCCTTAGCTTAAAAAAAAAAAGTAAAGTAAGATGAAAATAAATGCTTGTTTTACCTGTGTGTGTCTATACAAAGTGAGCAGTACAGCATAACCTCCAGACCTCTTCTGTGGAACACATTCTCTCTTTTTCTTAGCTCCCTTCTCCTTTCTTACTTCTTTTTGTGTTTGCTTCTGCAAAACAAGTCATTAGTTTTCTAATATTAACGCGAACAAGTAATGGCAACTCATTTCTTTTTTTTAAACCAACCATATGCTCACTAAAGTTTCCTGAAGGTTCCTTCTGAGGTTCTTCCATCTGTTTGGAGGAAGCCGTGCTGCTCCGATGGCAAGAAGTAGCCAAGTGGATTGGAGCATCAGAACCTTTCAGGAATAAAACAGAAGACCGTAAACATGACACACTAACAGATTAAACAACTGTTTAAGATAAAGAAAGAGTGTGGATACTCTAAGCATTTCAGAGAAAATCTTGGCCTGCACTACACTGAAGTCCCTCACCGTTTTCCCGATAACGCTTCTGCAGCCCCTCGTCCAAAATCTTGCAGATCCCGTCGCCGAAATTTTTTAGGATCTTCGCCTCTTTTCCGTTTTTCAGCGGCAGAGGGTATTTTTTCAAAGAGTTTATGGCCTGTGTAAAAGCACAACATTGCATTCGCTAAGTTTAATGAGTTACTAATGGGATTGTTTACGTGTTTACATTCAGTTAAATCCGATATGTGACCCTGGAGCACAAAACCAGTCTTAAGTCGCTGGGGTATATTTGTAGCAATAGCCAAAAATACATTGTACGGGGTCAAAACTATTGATTTTTCTTTTTATGCCAAAAATCATTAGGATATTAAGTAAAGATCATGTTCCATTAAGATATTTGGTAAATTTCCTACTGTAAATATATTAAAACTTAAATTTTGATTAGTAATATGCATTGCTAAAAACTTTATTTGAACAACTTTAAAGGCGATTTTCTCAATATTTTGATTTTTTTGCACCCTCAGATTCCAGATTTTCATATCGTCCTATCCTAACAAACCATACATCAATGGAAAGCTTATTTATTCAGCTTTCA